ACTACTACTACTGCTACTGCACATGGGGAAACAGTGGGAGGGCATCTGATGTTTGTTCTGTGTTCTAGTTTGTTCTAGTTTGTTCTAGTTTGTTCTAGTTTGTTCTAGTTTGTTCTAGTTTGTTCTAGTTTGTTCTGGTTTGTTCTTTGTTCTAGAGCGTAGAACTTGCGCATGAGAACATGAGACCAGGACGAATCTTCAGGAACTCTGGAAAACTGGAGCAGAGCAGCTCGAACCGGAGCCCCCAGTCCTACGAGAACAACCCCCGAGACGAGAGGGACAGGTGAGACACCCGCCCCCCGAGACAGAGGGACAGGTGAGACACCCGCCCCCCGAGACGAGAGGGACAGGTGAGACACCCGCCCCCCGAGACCAGAGGGACAGGTGAGACACCCGCCCCCCGAGACCAGAGGGACAGGTGAGACACCGCGCCCCCGAGACCAGAGGGACAGGTGAGACACCCGCCCCCCGAGACCAGAGGGACAGGTGAGACAACCGCCCGAGGGACAGGTGACACACCTGCCGAGACCAGAGGGACAGGTGAGACACCTGCCCGCAACCAGAGGGACAGGTGAGACACCCGCCCGAGGGACAGGTGACACACCTGCCGAGACCAGAGGGACAGGTGAGACACCCGGCCGAGACCAGAGGGACAGGTAAGACACCAGCCCGCAATCAGAGGGACAGGTGAGACACCCGCCCCAAGACCACCTTGTGATGTCATGAAGTGGTAGTTTCCTTTTCCCTTTAGTTTAGTCGAGATCGACGACTCCAGGACTGAAATGATCCAAAAGATTCTGGTGAAGGTGTGTGGAGTTTAAAAACACAGTGGAACACTTCCTGTATCACCACATGATGACATCACAAGGTGGAACAGAGTGTTTTCAGTTTGAGAGAAGAACTCGTGTTAAATGTGCAGGTTTTTTGAAACATGTTAATGAAACAAAACACATCTCCAGGAAACAACAACAGAACAGAGCAGAGGATTGTGGGACATTGAGTCTCTGTGTAAACTACATTAGAACAGAGGATTGTGGGACATTGAGTGTTTGTGTCCAGGTTCTCTGAGGACACAGACAAACAGGTCACAGTCCTGAAGTTCACCGACGGAGACGGAGACGGAATCGGGGTCCTCAGGTAAAAGACTCGACTAACCCTGAGTAACTAACCCTGACCATAACTAACCCTGACCCCAACTAACCCTGACCATAACTAACCCTGACCATAACTAACCCTGACCCAACTAACCCCCAACTAACCCTGACCATAACTAACCCTGACCATAACTAACCCTGACCCCAACTAACCCTGACCCTGACTAACTAACCCTGACCATAAACTAACCCCTAACCCAACCCTGACCCCAACTAACCCTGACCACTATAACTAACCCTGACCCCTAACTAACCCTGACCATAACTAACCCTGACCCCAACTAACCCTGACCATAACTAACCCTGACCCCAACTAACCCTGACCCCAACTAACCCTGACCATAACTAACCCTGACCCCAACTAACCCTGACCCCAACTAACCCTGACCCCTACTAACCCTGACCCCAACTAACCCTGACCCTAACTAACCCTGACCCCAACTAACCCTGACTATAACTAACCCTGACTAACTAACCCTGACCCCAACTAACCCTGACTATAACTAACCCTGACTATAACTAACCCTGACCATAACTAACCCTGACTAACTAACCCTGACCCCATAACTAACCCTGACTATAACTAACCCTGACCATAACTAACCCTGACCATAACTAACCCGTGAATAACTCAGCACTGGCCTCAGACCCACAACTGTGACTGACTCACGAGTTTACAGTCCGACGACCACAAACACCAGCGTCCTCACAAGTGACAATGTGTGAGGTTACTTCCTGTGTGTGAGGTGACTTCCTGTGTGTGAGGTGACTTCCTGTGTGTGATTGACAGCTGGTTTGCGGTGCACGCGGTCAGTATGAACTACACAAACCGACTGGTGAGCAGCGACAACATGGGCCTGGCCTCCCTCATGATGGAACTGGACAAGAATCAGGGACTGCCCGGAGAGGTACTACAAATACTACTACTATTACAACTACTACAAATACTACAAATATTACTACTACTAATACTACTAATACTACTAATATTACTACAAATATTACTACTACTACTACTACTACTACTACTACTACTACTAATACTACTACTACTACTACTACTACAAATACTACTACTACTAACTACTACTACTACTACTATATTACTACTACTACTATACTACTACTACTAAACTACTACTACTACTACTACTACTACTACCACTACTACTACTACAAATACTACAAATACTACTACAAATACTACTAATACTACTAATACTACTAATACTACTACTACTACTACAACTACTAACACTACAAATACTACTAATACTATTAATACTGCTAATACTGCTACTACTACTACTACTACTACTACTACTACTACTACTAAAACTACAAATACTACTCTTAATACTATTACAAATACTACTAATACTACAAATACTACTACTACCAATACATGAAAAAGTGAGCATCAAACCTCCATGTTTGTTTTCCCAGTGGGATGTGTCTATTGTCAAAGTCGATCTTTTCAAGTCTTTTGAGCCATGTCACTTTTGTTTCTGGTTCTGATATTGTCATATTTTAGTTTTGGGATTTGGACATCGTAATTGTGTGGTTGTTGGATGTTTATCAAAGTCCATCAAAGCAAAATCCTGATCCGTCGCTCAACCTCGGTTACGAATTTAAAAAGTCAAAGTGAAAGGCACCAATTGTTCACCAAGAAACACCTTCCACTGCAAAGAGACCAAGACGTGATGTTTCTGTAAAACCACAAGAACAAGAAAGTGCAGCTCAGTGTGTTTGTCTTCTGCACCTCTCGATTCACAAACGGGATTTTGTTTTGTTGTCGCTCCACATACAAAATGGCATAGGCAGACAAAGTTTTCCTTTTTGGTTCTTTCTGTGGATCAATCCTGCCCATCACCTTCACCTTTCACTATTTTTCAATTCTGTTGGGAAGAGAAACAGTTTGAACGGAGGTTTGAGTCACACACATCTGATTCACTTTTGCATTTATGGAGTCCACAAACTTCTGAAGTCCGTTTCTCGAGTTGTTTTCCGCTGTTAGGATCCAACAACCACACAATGACGATGTCCGAATCCCAAAACTAAAATATGACAATATCAGAACCAGAAACAAAAGTGACATGGCTCAAAAGACTTGAAAAGATCAACTTTGACAATAGACACATCCCACTGGGAAAACAAACATGGAGGTTTGATGTTCACTTTTTCAGACGATTTTTCCCTGTATGAATTGCACCAGGACCGGAAATCTGACATTCAGGATGTATGTATACTACAAATACTACCAATACTACAAATACCACAACTACTACTACTACTACTATTACTACTACTATTAAACAGGTTTTGGTCTGTTTAAATCAGCTGAGGGACACGTCACATGTCACATTCACATGACGTGACTCTGTGGTGTTAAAAACAACTCTCTGCTGTGTCACTCGAGTCCAACTCTGGTGTTTTACTCTGAGTTACACTGAGCTGGAGTTAAACTGTTCACACGCAGAGGAGAAAATGACCTGGAGCCTCAGGGTGGAGTCCGTCCCCTCCTCTGTCTCAGGTCCTCTGTCCCTCAGGTCCTCTGTCCCTCAGGTCGTCCCTCAGGTCCTCAGGTCCTGTTGTCCTCTGTCTTTTGTCCCTCAGGTCGTCCCTCAGGTCGGTGTTTCTCATGTTTTTCAGGGTCGTTTTGTGGCGGGTTTTTCGAGCTCGAATCTCGGGGATGTGACTCCCAACACCAGGGGCCCCCACTGCGCCAACACGGGCCTCAAGTGTGACTACGTGAACAGCTCCTGTCCTGTCGGGGGGGTAAGAGAGCACCTGCCGGGAAATACTACTGCAAATACTACTGCAAATATTACTGCAAATACTACTGCAAATACTACTGCAAATATTACTGCAAATATTACTGCAAATACTACTGCAAATATTACTGCAAATATTACTGCAAATACTACTGCAAATATTACTGCAAATATTACTGCAAATACTACTGCAAATATTACTGCAAATACTACTGTAAATACTACTACTGATACTGCATATACTTGACCTCCATGTACTGTGTACTCTGTATACTCTGTGTACTGTGTACTCAGTGTACTCTGTGTACTGTGTACTGTGTGTACTGTGTACTGTGTGTACTGTGTACTCCGTGTACTCTGTGTACTGTGTACTCTGTGTACTGTGTACTCTGTGTACTCTGTGTACACAGACTAAGATGTGCATGGGGCTGGGACCTGGAGTCGACATGTTTGAAAGCACCAGGATCATCGCCGAGAACATCTACAAGAAGACCAAGGTCAGACCTGGACTAAACCAGGACTAAACCTGGACTAAACCTGGACTATAACAGGACTAAGCCCGGACAGTACAGTACTGCATTACTGCAGTAGAGGAGGTGACAGGTGTGTTGTAGTACTCTGTGTGTACTCTGTGTACTTGTACTACAGGAGCTGTACAGTACTGCAGTAGAGGAGGTGAGGGGTTCGTTACATTTCGCTCATCAGTGGATCGACATGAGCAACGTGTCTCTGCCCATCAACAGCACTCACACGGTAAGAGTACTACAAGTACTACAAGTACTACAAGTACTACTACTGCAAATACTACTGCTGCGGACAGCACTCACATGGTAAGAGTACTACAAGTACTACAAGTACTATCTGACCTGCAATGGTCCTGTGTGTACTGTGTGTACTGTGTGTACTTTTATAAATACTTGTACTTCAGGTGAGGACATGTGTACTGTGTGTACTGTGTGTGTACTGTGTGTACTGTGTGTACTTTGATAAATATTTGTACTTCAGGTGAGGACGTGTAAACCTGCTTTGGGACACAGTTTTGCCGCTGGGACGACGGACGGAGGAGGAGACCTGAACTTCACCCAAGGTACAAATACTACAAGTACTACAAGTACTACAAGTACTACAAATACTACAAGTACTACAATACAGGGATGGTGGAGGGTGTAGTTAAAGGTGTTTTATTTTAAAGGGATGGTGGAGGGGGACCCGTTCTGGGACGGGATCAGAGACGATCTGGTCGGTCAACCGTCCAACGAGACTCAAGACTGTCACCGACCCAAACCCATTCTGTTCAGCACAGGAGAGGTACTTATACTGCACTCTGTGTGTGTGTGTGTGTGTGTGTGTGTGTGTATTGTGTGTGTCTGTGTGTACTGTGTGTGTGTGTGTGTGTGTGTGTGTGTGTGTGTGTGTGTGTGTGTGTGTGTGTGTGTGTCAGTGTGTGTGTGTGTGTCAGATGTGTGTGTGTGATATTTGTCATGTGTGTGTCAGATGTGTGTGTGTGTCAGATGTGTGTGTGTGATATTTGTCGTGTGTGTGTGTCAGATGTCGTGGCCGTTGCCGTGGCACCCGACCATCATCGACGTGCAGATGTTTCTCATCGGGTCTGTGGCTGTTCTCGCTGTTCCAGGAGAAATGACGTAAGACTCACAGACACTCAGCACCAACACAAGGTATGAGGCTCCGCCCCCATGCTCCCACAGTACGAGTCTGTACGTGGCTCCGCCCCCATGCTCCCACAGTATGAGTCTGTACAAGGCTCCGCCCCCATGCTCCCACAGTACGAGTCTGTACGAGGCTCCGCCCCATGCTCCCACAGTATGAGTCTGTACAAGGCTCCGCCCCCATGCTCCCACAGTACGAGTCTGTACGAGGCTCCGCCCCGATGCTCCCACAGTATGAGTCTGTACAAGGCTCCGCCCCCATGCTCCCACAGTACAAGTCTGTACAAGGCTCCGCCCCCATGCTCCCACAGTATGAGTCTGTACAAGGCTCCGCCCCCATGCTCCCACAGTACAAGTCTGTACAAGGCTCCGCCCCCATGCTCCCACAGTATGAGTCTGTACAAGGCCCCGCCCCCATGCTCCCACACCACAATCCTTAAATACACAAATATAACACAAAACTGTTCACTGTGACATGACAAACCTGAGGTGAGGTGCAGGAGTTTCATTTGTGCTTCGCACGCTGGGTGTTGTGATGCTCTGAAGGGGGAGTGACTTAGCTCTCTCTCTCTCTCTCTCTCTCTCTCTCTCTCTCTCTCTCTCTCTCTCTCTCTCAGGACGATGTCGGGGCGGAGGCTTCGAGCGGCCGTCAAACAGGTGAGGGCGTAGTTTAAAGGTGTTTTATTTTGAAGGGATGGTGGAGGGTGTAGTTTAAAGGTGTTTTATTTTGAAGGGATGGTGGAGGGTGTAGTAAAGGTGTTTATTTTGAAATGGTGGAGGTGTTTAGGTGTTTGAAATGGTGGAGTGTAGTTAAAGGTGTTTTATTTTGAAGGGATGCTGGAGGGTGTAGTTTAAAGGTGTTTTATTTTGAAGAGATGCTGGAGGGTGTAGTTTAAAGGTGTTTTATTTTGAAGGGATGGTGGAGGGTGTAGTTTAAAGGTGTTTTATTTTGAAGAGATGCTGGAGGGTGTAGTTTAAAGGTGTTTTATTTTGAAGGGATGGTGGAGGGTGTAGTTTAAAGGTGTTTTATTTTGAAGGGATGGTGGAGGGTGTAGTCTGAGAATCAAACCCAGGACAGCCACACGGTCCTGGGTTTGATTCTCACACTGAAACAGAAATGACCTGAGTGTGACAGAAGTGACCTGAGTGTGACAGAAGTGACCTGAGAGTGAAGTGACCTGACAGAAGTGACCTGAGAGTGACAGAAGTGACCTGAGAGGGACAGAAGTGACCTGAGTGTGACAGAAGTGACCTGAGAGGGACAGAAGTGACCTGAGTGTGACAGAAGTGACCTGAGAGGGACAGAAGTGACCTGAGAGGGACAGGAGTGACCTGAGTGTGACAGAAGTGACCTGAGTGTGACAGAAGTGACCTGAGTGTGACAGAAGTGACCTGGAACACGTTGTCCAGAGACAGACGTGAGTTTCTTCTTTAGTGTGGATAATTACACTGTTCTGTTTCCATTGTGACTCGTTAATCTTTTAAGAAATTACTGGCGTCGATATCGGCCGATACAGATACCTGAACCGATATATGCTTCATCTCCACTTTAATGACCTGTAGTTTGTTTTGCTGACCTGAAGTTTCTATGCCTCAGGAGCTTCAGGTGGGTGGAGCGTTCAAGGACCTGGAGGTGGTGATCGCTGGACTCAGTAACGTCTACACCCACTACATCACCACCTACGAAGAGTACCAGGTACAAACCCGGGGCCGGGGTCAGAGGTCAGGGGTCAGAGGTCAGGAGTCTGTGACACGTGCCTTCATGTTCTTGAATATAATGATGTCATATGCAGAAAAAGTGGTGGAGCTTCAGTGGGTCATAAAAGAGTAAAAAACAACAGTAGAGCTCGACGAGGGTTAAACAGAAGTGTTTAAACACAAAGTTACTCACCCACATCAACGTGGGCGAGGTACAAACCCGAGGCACCACTCACACTGAATCCACTGAATATTTTAAAAGTCCTTTGTTTTAAGGGCAACGCGTTTCCACCAGAGAGACGTCTTCATCAGGACAAAGTTGTAAAACAAGACACACAGATGTCATTAAATACAGTTATCAATCACACGACAACATCACATGACAACTAGAAAAAGGCTAGGGGGCGACGATATCTGTCCATTCATATGTACAGTCTGTGTGTATGACCTGCAGACGTATAATCTCTGAAAAGTTTAACATGAACCATCTCTAACGCGAAAGAACACTCATGTTCCACTGAGTCGTGTCCTTTTTTAGTCCGAGAGAAGCTGAACCGTGTACCAGGAGCGAACTGTTTTATGAGCGCTTTGTTTATGTAAGTTAGTCATGCGGTTTTAAGTTTTGTTTCTGTAAAATGTAAACACATGCGCAAAGCTGCATTAAACACATTATTTCTCAATATATACTGAAAGAAAGAAAAGCCGACAGGAAATGTCTACAGAGCCGTGGTACGGACGACCAATCACAGCTCTTATCATCTGCGTCGCTTCCCCTGCTGTCTGCGTCGTTTTGACGCGTTGTTAGAACATTTCGGAGGTGCACGTCGGTCGACACAGAGGCTCTGCGTAGGGGGTACGCGTCGACACAGACGATTTGACACTGGACCGTAAATTGGCCTGAAGACTGAATGTGAAGAGCCGTTGGGTAATTGGGTTTTTAGTTTTAATAGTGTTTTTCTGTTCACAAAAGTGATTCTTGAGTCTCTGTTTTGTTTGCCCAGTATAAAAGCACCGACAGTGACAGTCCAGCCCACAGAGCACGTGTGGAGGGTTAATGTTGGCAAACGGGCGACATGTCAAAGTTTTTTGGCTGAAGAGTTTTTAAAAGAAGTACATTTATTGATACGGATGCAGTGACTGAAATGTACCAGCTGGTTTAGGAAAGAATGTCTTTTTCTCTGCAGGGAGATTTTTAGTTTTTCACAAGTTGATCGTTTAAAGTTGTTGTTCTTCTCACAGCAGATGATGGAGGTTCAGAGAAAACAGCTGCCAGTGACTTTTAAGAATGTTCCAGTTTTTCTTAACGATGCACTTAAAGGCTGCTGTGCCTTACACAGATAATGATGTCATAGTTCAAGATGTTCTACAGGACCTTCAGAACTCTGTAGAACTCTGTGGGACTCTGTGGGACTCTGTAGGACTCTGTAGGACTCTGTGGGACTCTGTGGGACTCTGTAGGACTCTGTAGGACTCTGTAGGACTCTGTAGGACTCTGTAGGACTCTGTGGGACTCTGTAGGACTCTGTGGGACTCTGTGGGACTCTGTGGGACTCTGTAGGACTCTGTAGGACTCTGTGGGACTCTGTAGGACTCTGTAGGGACTCTGTGGGACTCTGTAGGACTCTGTGGGACTCTGTGGGACTCTGTAGGACTCTGTAGGACTCTGTGGGACTCTGTGGGATTCTGTGGGACTCTGTAGGACTCTGTGGGACTCTGTGGGACTCTGTGGGACTCTGTAGGACTCTGTGGGACTCTGTAGGACTCTGTGGGACTCTGTGGGACTCTGTGGGACTATGTAGAACTCTGTGGGACTCTGTGGGACTCTGTAGGACTCTGTGGGACTCTGTAGGACTCTGTGGGACTCTGTGGGACTCTGTGGGACTCTGTAGGACTCTGTGGGACTCTGTGGGACTCTGTGGGACTCTGTAGGACTCTGTGGGACTCTGTGGGACTCTGTGGGACTCTGTAGGACTCTGTGGGACTCTGTGGGACTCTGTGGGACTCTGTGGGACTCTGTAGGACTCTGTGGGAGAGTGTCTGTCTTTAAAGACTTTTCCAGACTTGTGCTCCTCAGATGTTTCTCCTTCTCGTTCTTTGTTTGGGATGAGCTCCACAAACCAGAACTAAATCAGGACTGAACTGGGTCTAAACCAGGTCTAAGCCTTTAGTTTATTTCTCCTGACAGAAAAGTCACTAAACCTTGTGCCAGATTTTGTTTCATGTGGATAGAAACACAGGGGAGGGACCTGACACACGGGGAGGGACCTGACACACGGGGAGGGACCTGACACACGGGGAGGGACCTGACACACGGGGAGGGACCTGACACACGGGGAGGGACCTGACACACGGGGAGGGACCTGACACACGGGGAGGGACCTGACACACGGGGAGGGACCTGACACACGAGGAGGGACCTGACACACTCTGCTGTGTCTCAGGTGCAGAGATACGAAGGTGCCTCCACCATCTACGGCCCCCACACCCTCACAGCCTACATCCACCACTTCACCCACCTGTCCAAGGCCATCAGACAGGTACCAGGACTGAACCAGGACTGAACCAGGACTGAACCAGGACTGAACCAGGACTAAACCTCATAGGGCAATTTGCCATTTAGATTTAGACACAAATCCTCCACAGATGTTTCTTGCTGTTTCCTCCTGGAGAGCATCAAGGCTCAGATCAGGGAACAGTATTTGGGGCT